AATTATTTTTCTACTTAAAGAGTAATATATTTTTTTGGCCAAACTTAAAGAGTAATATTAAAAAGCATTACCAATATAATCTTATTTTTTCAAATTATTTTATATTTTGAAATAACAATCTTTTCACGTTATTTTTTAATTTAAGATGAAGGGAATATGTTTTTGTTTTTTTATTTTTATTGAAGATTTTGACCATAAAAGAGTTATAATTATTAATTGTACCTTTTTATTGCAAAAAAAAACTATAAAGAAATAAATAAACTATTTTTCAGAATGCAGAGGGACGGCAAATAATTAGTACGGTCAATGAGAACCACGTCTGGTTGTTTTGATCAATGGAAAAACACAATTGCGAGTCTCATGATTTTATCATGTTTTGTTACTGATTCTTGTATTTTTTTTTCATTATTCCAAGTTCTTATATTTTTTCATCTATAATATTAGTCCTTTTATTTTGAATTATACCAAGTGGGATGATAATGTAGCTCTAATTATGCTAAATTATATTATGGGTAACTAACATCATTTTATTGCGCGTCAAACGGATGTTAATTTTTATTTCATTTGTTTTTACAGACTTCAAAACTCATATCTTTGCCTCTACTTTAGTTTCATTCACTATATCAATTGATCTTCTTTACTTTGTATTTTGTGATTGCTATGTCTTTTTTTTCTTCTTATTTTAACATTCAATTCATAGAGTTAATTACATGTTAGACAACTTAATACCCTCGGTATTACATCGTTATCTCTCTGAGTATATTTAAAAATAAAATAATTAATGATATAGACCAAACAACTATAGACACCTAAGATAATGAAAACAAATTACAGTGACCCATAATAAAATATGATAAAACTATGAAAGCCAATAATTAAGTTTTCCCTTAATCAAACTATCTAACTATCATAAAGAATTGAATATCAGTGCTCTCCAAGAAGACACAAGTACACAACGATTAATTATTAATTCATTAAATAATACAAAGGATTGATACCAACAAGAACGAAGAGAAAAAGCGATACCTCCAAAGATCCTACACAACAAACAATCAAACATGGCCTCGAAAATAGATGCTTTCAACTAATGATATAGGAATCATCGGCGATTTGATCCAAAGAATAAAATTAAAAAGTAATTTTCTGAATAAAAATTTGTATTCATATTTAATATTAAAATATTGAAAAGAACAACGACATTTTTTATATTAAAACTTAAAAAAAAAAAGTTTTCCTCAATAAAACAACATGTACCTGAAGAAAATGTTAGCAAATTCACTTTTGACTTGCATATGTTTTTCAATTTTGACCCTTTTATAACTAAATTCTGACTCCGCCTTGTTGGTATAGCTATAAATATTAAGTTAAAATTGATAGATAAAAATAAAATTTGAAATAAAATGAATACATTAAAAATATATTTTTGCGAGGCAAGGATCCTCAGAATTAAAAGGAATTTGGTTAAACACGGGCGGTCGGCTTTGCATATATATATATATACGTGTGTGTGTGTGTGTGTTAATATACGGTCAATAAAAGCAAAACATGATCTTCATCAAAGTGCTATATAAGTCCCCGGCTGTGAGCAGAGTCTGAAATACATGAGAAATGTTATAAGCAGAGCAAGTTCAAGATAGAAAGAAAGAGGTGTGAGCAGTGAAGGAGAATAATAATGGAGCTAACAAGTCTTGCGATGTTTGTGATCTGTTCCATATCATTATTAGTGCTATCAGCTGTGTGGTTGCTTTACAAAAGCCCTTCACCAAAAGAAATGGAAGACATACCAGGCAGCCTTGGTTGGCCTCTTGTGGGTGAGAGTTTCTCTTTTATCTCTGACTTCTCCAGTCCTTCTGGTATCTTCAACTTCATGAACACCAGGCAGCAGAGGTAACCACAATCTCATTTAATCATACTTCATAACTTCCACCCAATCCAATATTTTAGTTCCTTAAATTTACGCAATCTTTTATGTAAAAAGTTGGACTTTTGATTACTGATTTGGGAAACTTCCTCCTAGATTTGGAAAGGTGTTCAAGAGCTTTGTGCTTGGGAGGTTCACTGTCTTCATGACTGGGAGAGAAGCAAGCAAGATATTGCTGACTGGGAAGGATGGCATTGTGAGCTTGAACCTGTTCTACACAGGCCAGCAAGTTCTGGGCCCCACCAGCTTGCTTCAAACCACAGGAGAGGCACATAAAAGGCTTAGAAGGCTGATTGCTGAACCCTTATCAGTGGATGGTCTGAAAAAGTATTTTCATTTCATCAATACTCAAGCAATGAAAACATTAGATCAATGGTCTGGAAGAAAAGTTCTGGTTCTTGAAGAGGTTTCTACAGTTAAGTGTCAAGATGGCATCAAAATACAGCATATTCCGGTGTTTTACTCTTGCACAATTTATGTCATACTATATTATGCTAAGCCACTGACTGAATATTGCATTGCAGTTTACGCTGAAAGTGATTGGACACATGATCATGAGCTTAGAGCCTACGGGGGAAGAGCAAGAAAAATTTCGTGCCAATTTCAAGCTAATTTCATCATCATTTGCATCTTTGCCTTTCAAGATTCCAGGAACAGCTTTTCCTCGTGGTATCAAGGTAAGAAAAAGTAGGACATAACTATATGTTAAAGGGCTATTACTGAGCTTGGTAGGCCATGATCATACTTGGTCTGATATAATGGGCCTAGACTTGGGCCTTGTATTTGGGCAAATGGGCTTAAACCCAAGTTGGACCCCTTCTTGGGCGTGGCTCAGGCGGCTTGACAGTGAATTTCATCAATAAGATGTCCTGAAGAAGATATGAACTCTAATGTTTTATTCGAGCAGGCCCGGGATAGGATGTATGCCATGTTGGATTCCACAATTTCCATGAGGAGAAGTGGTGAAGAGTTTCAACAGGATTTCTTAGAGTCCCTGATTATGAAGCACACCAAAGTGGCAGAAGCAGATGAAGAAGACAATGAAAATAAACTTACTGATAAGCAACTGAAAGACAATATATTAACTTTACTGGTTGCAGGCCACGACACTACAACTGCTGCTCTCACTTGGCTCATCAAATTTCTTGAAGAAAATCTTGCAGTTTTGGAACAACTAAGAGTAATTTCTTATAAGGACACAGTACAAATCAATTTTCCTTGGTTTGATGAGCCTGAAATCTGAAGTTCTGATGCTGGTTTTGCAGGAGGAACACATGCAGATTATAGCAAACAGAAAGGATGGTACAGATCTTACATGGTTTGAAGTGAATAACATGCCTTACACAGCCAAAGTGAGCACTGCATTAAAAATATGTTAATTTGTTAGCTTCAATAGTAGGTTTAGAATTTCAAAAGCTTATTCTGATGTTTGCCCGTTTTTCATCTCTAGGTTATTAGTGAAACATTGAGAAGAGCCACAATTCTGCCTTGGTTCTCTAGAAAAGCTTCCCAGGATTTTGAAATTGATGGTATGTCATTAGCGTTTCTATTCCTACATAATAACATTACTGTAAGTTATCATAATAAAATTTTTCATAGGACTTTAACAACTCAAGCTTTTGAATTGAAATGGCCTTAGACAAGTACGAACTTGCAAAGTCATAGACAGTCGCAACACATAATATGAGATGCTTGTGTAATAGATGCTGAATGAATGTTGGATTTTGCAGGATATAAAATTAAGAAAGGTTGGTCTTTGAACCTAGATGTTGTGTCCATACACCATGACCCAGAAGTTTTCCCAGATCCTCAGAAGTTCGATCCTTCAAGATTTGATGTAATCTCCTTTCACACAACTCTATCTATACACACACAAATGTATCTCTATCTCTATCGCTTTGATTAATTTTCTTTGTCATTAAAAAAATCTACCAGTTGGGGAAACAAATCAAAATATATTCTTGAACCAATTTCAGGCACCCTTAAAGCCTTTCAGCTTTCTTGGATTTGGTAGTGGACCACGCATGTGCCCTGGAATGAATCTGGCCAAGCTTGAAATTTGTGTTTTCATTCATCAGCTGGTCATCAGATACAAGTAAGATGGAAACAGAGAAAAGTATATTAGTTAATACAGAGTCAAGCACAAGACAACTCTTAAAAAACCCAAATGTTATTGTTCACATGACCATTCAAGACAATGCTCATTAGACACCATCACCTGACACTTTTACATGGTGTCACAGGTGGAAGCCTCTGGAGAAAGATGATTCTGTGCAGCCGACACTTGTACGGATGCCGAAGAACAAGTACCCTGTTATGGTTGAGCCATTGTAAGAAGTGCCTCAAGAACTACAAAATCAGAAAGAACAGAACAAGCCCCACGAGCAATAATTCCATTTATTTTGCAGCATTCCAATATAAATATAGTTATATAGATATCTTCATAAAAGTGGATCACCACCATTAGACGTGTGGAAATGCAGTAGTAACCGTACCAGTGCATTATGCATTACCATAACGAGTCTTATCCAAGGAAAAATCATGATAATTACATCGAGTGTCATAATCTTGAGTTACTATTTTTCTTTGAATTCTCAATTTTTTAGGACAAGTAGTTCTTATAAATAAACTCCTTATATTTTTATTTTGCTAATCAAATCTCAGGATATAGAGATTGGGCGTGTTTGGATGAAGGCTCAACTCAACCCAACCTTCTATAAACAGAATGGAAAAGGGTTAAATGAAAAAAAAAAATTGAAAAAAAAATTTAATGAAAAAAACATTATTACATTCTTATTTTATTATATAAGTAGAAAAAATATTGAACGAAAATTATAAAATTGTAATATGCATACCAATAACAATAACGAAAAGGTCAAGAAAATCTTCTCAGGTGGATACCGTAAAACTCAAACCTATCAACTCGGACTATAAAAATGCGGCTTGGGTTTGTAGATTACAGGTTTGGACTATTGTACACCGTTTTTATTTACCCCAAACTCCAGTGTCTCTGATGATTCCATTGTACATCAGAAGAGGGAGTAATTCATCATTCATCTTCGTGGGGCAAAGACATTAACAAAATGAAAAGGGACTTGAAGATGACAATTATAATTTTTTCGATTTACACAAATAGCATAATTGAAATTTCTCAGCCACTGTGAGCATTCAAAATGCCACTTTTGGCTTGGGAAATTAAATCGGACAAATACACTGATGGCTGTAATCCTGAATTTATCATCTCTCTTAGAAGCTGCTCAGCTTCCTTCCACTTCCCATCATTGCAGAGAGCTCTGATAGTCAAGCTGTAGCTAGCCACATTTGGTACCATTCCACTCTCCACCATTTCTTCAAGCAGCCTTAGGGCCCTGTAGGAGTTTCCTTGTTTGCAGTAACCATGAATCATGATATTATATATCACATTGTTTGGTTTCAAGTTCTTGTCACCCATTGATCTGAAGAGTTTTGACGCTTCCTCCATACGGCCTCTTATGCATAAACCATGTATTAGGACACCATAAGTGCAAACATCTGATCTCAAACCAGACTTTTCCATAAAAGAAAGCATTCCAAATGCCTTCTCCATCTCATTTAGCCTTACAAAGGCATCAATTAGAGTCGTATATGATACTTTGGAGGGAGCAATGCTTCTCTCCTCCATTTCCCAGACCAAGTGAAGAGCTTTTTCCAAATTCTCATTCCTAGCATATCCTGCGATCAATGTATTATATGTGACTAAGGAAGGAGATGGTCCGTTTGACTTCAATTTGTTAAATAATCTAGCAGCAACGTCCATCTTTCCAGCGTCACAAAAGCCCTTTATCAGTGTGTTATATGTGATTACATTAGGACTTAGGCCAACACTGTTTACTTGATCAAGCATCTTCAAAGCTTCCCAGAGCCTCTGCACTCGACATAACCCACAAATCAAAGTATTGTATGTCACAACACCACATGCCACGCCTTTCTCTTGCATTTCTTCGAACACCTTAAAAGCTTCACCCATGTTCCCATCATTGCAGTGTTCGTTAATCACGCAATTGTAAGTATGACTACTAGGGACAGCTTGATTTCGCTTCATGGTTTCATACATTTGAAATCCTTCTTTCTTTAGCCCTTGCTTGAAAAACCCGTTGATTAACACTGTGTATGTATGAGGATTGGGAACTAAACACAATTTCTCCATCGTGCAATACAGCTTCTTTGCCAGTTGAAAATCACCACTCTTGAAGCAGCCATTGATCAATGTGGTGTATATGACAACATTTGGAGGCCATGCTAGCTCTTCCAACTGAGCAAAAAGTTGAAAAGCTTTAATCATGTCACCAGTTTCACAACAACCCTTGATCAAAATCCCAAAACTGTATACATCTAGCATAGGCTTACCCTTTGCTTCATTAAAAATCCACCATGCTTCTTGAAAGCAATTGGATCTAATAAGTGAGCTCAAGAGATTATTGAACGTTTTTGGCCTAGGAACAATGCCCTTGTCAATCATCTGTTTAAAAATATAGAGGGCTTGATCATGTAATTTAGAATTGAGAGAGGCATTAACAAGTGCTTCATAAAGGAGGGAAGATGTTGGCTCTGAAAAATAACAGGTTTCAGTTAGCTGATCCATAAGTGATGATGGAGAGAACTTACACAAAAGTTGTCCAGAGATCAACCGCACAAGTAGAGACTGCGCCTCAGATAGCATGCCAGAGGCGAGGAGATGGTTTAAGATGAAGGATATTGATTGGCAGGCGTGACGAACACCACAGATGATTGAGCAATTGAAGAAGGAGAGAGCTTTTTCTGGTGGGAGCTTCACCATCTTTTGGATGAGAATGAGAATTTCTCGGGAATGAGACATTGTACTGCTTTTCATCACTAAATATTTTCCTGAGCTCTATTCCACCCAGTATATTTAATAGTCTTCACCTGGGAAACAAGCATAAACAGTAGAAAAGCAGAAAAGGGTCCATGATCTTTGAAAAGCCACCAAAAAAAAAAATCATGAATTGGGTACTAACAAACACATCTAACTTACATTTCCAGAGAGATTAAAATTACCATAAATTATAACAGCACTTGCGAGCTCAGTCCCCCACACACAGAAATTCATTCAGAATGAAATAAAACAACGACAAAACCTACGTTGAGACTATGGCGGCTGGGTTCAGCTTAGAAAATGGCTTCACATACATACATATTGACATAAATAGGTTTCGGAAACATTGGTAAATGCGGTTTATCTATTTCCCCTGTATAGTATTTACGCTAGAAACATATACCGATGCTTCCAAATTGAACCAAAACTTGAAAGTACCTTAATTGAAATAACTATTAAGTGTCATCAAAGAGAAATCCAACAGAAGACAGAATTAATCCTCCTTACACATATAAAAGAAAAAATCTTCAACAAAACCATACCACATTTGCCCCATTCGAACACAGCTGATATTCTTCGGATGCCTCAACACGGCCCCAATTCCAGCAAGAAACGGACACCGGAAGAGGATAAAATATGAGAGGGTTCATCGGGTACCTCCATCCCACCCGGGCGTTCAAGGATGACGAAAACGAAACTCAAAAGGGTTCCGGTCGAGCCTTCGGTCAGGAGAAGGCGGGTATGAGCAAGGAAGGGATGTGGTACTCGTCACACAAAACGGCATCGTATTGGCTTTTCTGAGTAAGGAATCCCTCGAAATTCTCAGAGGGGAGGATTGAGAAAATTAATTAACCCCGGCTTGGTTGGAAGATAGCAGAAATTTAATGAAATTTTTCCTTCCTTCGTTTGGATGGAAAAAGGGGAAGAAGGGTTGGCAAGGAAGGGAAACTCTCCATTTTTTCTATCTAAACAGGGGAGGGAAAAGTTTTTAAAGTTTTTCCTCCCCTCCAACTAAAACACAACTTAAAAAAAAAAATCTCAAAAAGTTATTTTAATAAAATTGTTACTCATTTTACATTTAATGTCCGATTATATTTTAAACATGATTACTTCAAATAAAAAAATATGATAAAAAATTATTTTTCATAATTTATGATATGTAATTTAGATTTTGAATTATAGATTCTTGAATAATTTAAATCCTATACTCTACTTGATACATTTTGGACCTTGAATAATTAAATTTGGAGTATTCTCACCCCCACTGTTAATTTAATCCTAACATCCGTTAATAATATCCTTACAACCTATATTTTATTAAAGATTAAATAGCAATTTAAACCCTAATATCACACCCCACCAAAACAAGCGTAATTGGCACAAAGTACAAAATAAACCTCACTTCGTCAATTTATAATTCTAGCTGTACTTGGTAAAAATCTGCTTCACTAATATAATCTCAATTGGTATTGTCATATTCACTCGTGGATGTTTATATAAATTTCAATATAATCTCTTTCAAGAGTTGAATTATTATTATTTAAAAAAATATTTATATCAACTTTGTTAGACAAAAAAAATGAGAGCCCTTCTTCCAAAACATATATACTAAAATCATATATATGAATATCTTGCCTAAAACTTTATAGAGCAAATCTTAATTACAGCTAAATCATCAAGCAAATTTATCATAAATTCAGCTTTATAGCTTTACCTAAGCAGTTACTACAACTATCCAACAAGCACGGGAATTCAAATAATGCAGATGAAGGAAGTGGCAAGTTTCTAGTATCTGAAACACAAATAATTTAATAAGTGCGTGATAACCAGGTTCATTGAAAAACAATAAAAATATAAAGAATAAATAAATAAATAAATACTGAGTCCTGTTCATTTTTTTTCCAAGGTGACAGCCATACCCTGATAATTTAAAATCTTTAAAATACTTAAGGTATAGATAAATTGATGTTGAAATATGTTTGTCAATACAGAACACGCTTATTATCAAAGATAGGAATTAAAACAATATTGCAAAAATGATAATTTTAAATTAATGATAAGAGTTTAATAAAAGCATTTTCTTGAGAGAAAAAAAAAAGTTTTTTCAAAGGAGCCAACATAGCATGAAATATCTACCATAGGTACACACCCCTTGTGGGAAAAACGCCAATCAGGCACGACAAAGGCCACGGATGACAAGCACAACCTAAAGGCTATGAATATCAGGCCTAGCTCGGAGGTTATGAATATCAAGCGTAATACACAGTCTATAAAATAAATAACATATCCAGCATTACGAGAGACCATAAAAAGAAAAAACTAGCATAAACATAAATCTTATAAATAACATGCATGCTATGTTTGGCCCCTCCATGTGTGTTTACAATTATATATGAAATTTCATTCTTTCAATTTATAAAAATTTTCTCTTGTAAAACAAACAAGTAAATAAATAAATTTTATAGCTAATTTTGTCAAACTTCTTCAAATGCATCACATATATGTATCTATATATGCGTGCGTGCGTGCGTGATGAGAGATTATTAGAAGAAATCAAATTAAGATTTTAGGTGACATAATTGGTCATTGACCTCTATTGTAGTTCTTCACATCTTTCAAATACTCTATTCCACAAAATAAAAATGTATTTCAATCTTGTATTGATCTTAACATGGTACAAACAATTTATTCCCAATACTTGTAAAAATCATGATATGATAGTCATCATGCACTTAAGCTTGTCAAGAAGAATCAAGCTTTGAATAGCAAACTTTGATACAATATGTTCTCGAAGAAAGAGAGATATGAACACAGGACATGACACATACTTCAAAGAGCATCCACCATTAATTGCAAAGTATAAGAAGCTTACCAAATATGATAAAGATATTTCAAAGAAGAGTTGAGCCCATGTCTCACACATATTGAACACTCAGATTAGCGTCAACACAACTTTAAAACACAATCAAATACCTCATGTTAACATGCTTGTGTTAGTGTTGTGTGCCATGCCCATATCGATATGTATGTTTCCTAACTTTTATATTTGTCATAATAAGAATTTCATAAGCTAGTCATTTGATAGAAAAATTTAAGACATAAGAAACATTTCCAAACAAATTTACATTTTTTTATAAGACATGCATTTACATTTCATTAGCTCAAAAATTAGGAACACTAACAACTACTAATGTGCAGCATCTAAACAAGTTCTGCATGAAACTAATATTTTTGCCACATGTGTTTATCCTCTGTAATGAGCATTTTAATGAACATGTGATCTGCATTAACAAACACTATTGTATAGAATAGAGAAGAATGGGGAAGGTCAGAAGAGAGAAGAGAGGAATTGAGGGCAAGAAGAGAGTTTTCTGAATAATATTGAACACAAGAGAGTTAGGAACAAAGATGAGTTGATTGGCCCAAGAATTCAAGAGGTTGGACAAGGATGATTCTGTGCAAGTAATCATATTAATTAGCTCATGTCGACCGTTTTGTTAGGTGTGGACGTGATCACAATGAAAGATGTCTTCAAGGGTGACATTACAAGGTTCGCTGTGATGGTTGGATTCGAGATTGCACTGGCTTGTGACATTTTGATCGCTTTGGAAGGAGCCAAGCTCATAGATACCCATGTGAGGTTCCTTTGTAATTTATTTTTTTAATTGAGTAAATTAAAGATTGATTTCTAATATAGTGATTTGGATACATATGCGTTTGTGTTAATTTTAATTTAATTTATTGTGGAGTCTAGATAAAAATTATACACATACACACACACACTTCTAGCAAATGTCATGAATTTCACGATTTGCCATTGACTATTAACAAGAACATGGATTAGAAACAGATAGGGGTATTTACAGGACGAGATGGGATTAGGATACCCTTATCCTGTGTCTCGTCTTGAAAAAAAAGTGGGGCCAAATTTATTTTCCGTGTCTTGTTCTGTCTCGAAAGTTGTCCCCATCCCGTTAGGAAGCAGGATGGGATAGGGATGAGATTGGGATGTCCTACCGTGCTGGGAAAAAATCAACAATGTCCAAAGAAAAATCTAGATAATACACATTAAATTAAATTATATATAATTTATTAAATTTTATTAAATTTAAAATTAAAACAATACAAATACATAAATTACAATGATTTAAAGTCAATTATTAAATTACATTAATCACAACTACCATTATCATAGTAATTACAAGTGATTAAAAGGTTATAAGAGCAGTAATAATAGGCAAGTCAATCACAACATTAAATCATTATTCTTCTACTTTAGTTGGGATGTGTTAAGCTAATTACTCTTTTAAAAATAAAACAGAAATACGATATAAATAAAAATTATTAAATAGATAGATATAAATAAATTGTAGTAATAAAGAAATATAAAGAAAGATATCACCCTACTTATTCTATGTCATTAAAATTATTAAAATAAAAACTTTAGTTTTATATAAGAATTGCAAGTATTGAAATTATAATTGATATAATTAATATAAGTATAAAGATATATATTAATATAATTTATGTAAATTTTTAAAATAAAAAATAATATTATAATATTCATGACGGAATGTCCTGATAGTATCTCATGTCCCGTCCCGTCCCGTCCCAAAACCCCTTTCCTATCTCATCCCATCATGATTGTCTTTGGATCGAGATGAGACCCGTCTCGATATAATTAGGATGATATCAGACCAATTGAAATGGATACAAGCCAAACACTCCTAAAAATAGAGAGCTAGGGAAGAAGTAAGACAAGGTAGATGGTGTCAAAAATAAAAAGGCGGCCCCACTATGCTTAAAGTAAATTGATGTTAATTTTAAATTTAATTGTTGAGAACTCAAATTGTATAAAATATGAGTTCGGGGTTGAAATCGCCCTTGGCCTTATAGTTTAATCTAAATTGTTATTTAATCTTTTTATTAATGGATATTGGAACCAAATAAATGGTGGGGATGAGGATGCCCCAAGTTTGATTGTTTAGAATCTAAAATATAAGTATATGATTCTAATTGCCCTTAAACTTATAGTTTAAAACTCAAATTATATATTAACCCTTTATGATATTATAATTTATTTGTTTTTTTTTAGAAATCACAATAATTTTTTGTGATAAAAAGTGTTAATTTATAATTTATAAATACAACAATTAAAAATGAGGCATTTACAAATCGTGAGTTCTTCACATTGAAAACAAGAAAGATTCAAACTCACATTTTTGTGGGATATGAATAACATTCTTACTATTAATAATTATATTAAAATTTGCGTATCACTTATACATTTATCATCACTTTTCTTTTCTTCATGTTTATACAAAACTTTCAAAATAGGGTTAAATACCAAAAATACTTTAAAACTTTTTCTTCAGAAGCATCTGGCATCATAAACTTTGTTTGGACATTTTCACCCTAAAAGTTTCAAAAAGAGAGTATTTTTGTCCCACCATTAAATATTGAAAACATTGATCATTAAATTGAATTTTGATCACGGTTAAACACATAGTTTCTTGGACTTTTTCTCAAAGGGTACTAGGCATCCTGAACTTTTATTTGCAGCATTTTTGCCTTGAAAGTTGTAAAAAGAGAGCAATTTTTTTTTTGCTCAAGTCCTCACATCCATGTTTTTTTTGCCTTCATGCTTCCAAATCCAAGAGCTCAAGTCCTCACATCCAAGTTTTTTCTTTTGCCTCTTTCATTACCGTTTTATTTCGTCCCTGCGAAGTGTCAATTTCCCCTCTGAGAATTATTTGGAGAAAATGGAGCTCAGTTCAAAATCATCCGAATCGATATCTATATTCAGAAATAATCAACTATCCCCGAGTCAATCTATATGAATTCGGTCGTGTGAAAGCTCTATTCTT